AACATGGCTTTCCTCTCCACATTTACACTTTTTCCCCCATTTTTTTTTTTTAGATAACTATGAGCATACTTTTCATCTCTTTATATGGGTTCATAATCTCCAATTTGAATTCTTATAAACCAAAAAGAGCTCTTGTCCTAGCCGGTGTGGCTCAGTGAATAGAGCGTTGGCCTGTGGACTGAAGGGTCCCAGATTCGATTCTGGTCAAGGGCACATGCCAGGTTGTGGACTTGGTCCTCAGTTGGGGGCATGCAGGAGGCAGCCAATCAATGATTCTCTCTCATAATTGATGTTTCTATCTCTCCCTTTCCCTTCCTCTCTGAAATCAATAAAAAATATATTTTAAAATTAAAAAAAAAACACACAGAGTCCCTCCTCCCCCTTTTTTAATAGACTAATAACATTATCAATCATCTCTTCAATGCTATGCAAAACTGTTTTAACGCTTTCCTTGTTTTTGGAGAGTAATCCTTTTGCAATTCATTTTCTTCATCTGTGTTTATTAAGTTCTTTACATATCTATGATCAAGTCCTATGTTAACTCTTGTCTTAATACTAATTTTCTTTAATTTGTTTCACAATGAAATGAATCCGCAGAAGGAGAGAACTGGGTATGCTGCACCATCAGCTTTAGTTTTTCCTGACCATCCATTTACCACGTCTATTATTTTTCTTGATTTTGAGTGTGTGTTCCCTTGACTATGTGTAGCAGATTGCTGTGACTTACAGAAAAGCCTTGTGCTCTAACCTACCAAACTGCACCCCTTCCCAATCTATGAGGTGAGCATGTCACCCTCAGCTTCATCCCCCCACCCCGCCCCCGTATGCTTCATGATCCAGATCTTGAATGTCTTTAAGGGGTCTTTACCGTGGCTTCCTCACCTCTCCTGTGGCCTGCCCACATCCTCAGATCTCGCTTCTCTAATGAATAACACCTGGCTACATCTTTCTGCCCCGAGAGACTCAGTTTTAGTGAAACCTGTTTCTTTCTCAAGGTCTGAGGAGGTGTTGGCTCTCAAATTCCCTCTTGTTTCCATCTATGTTTCATAGAGTCTGGCAGGTTAACTAGACTTTTTTAGTTGCAATATTCCAAGCAACAAAAACCTCATCTAAAGTACCACAAGCTGTCCCTGCCAAAATGAATAAAGGAAAGAAGAAAGGTAAGGAAGAAAAGGAAGGAAGGAGGGAGGGAAAAAAAAAAGATGGGGAAGAGAGAGGGGGGTGGGGAACATATTGGCCCAAAACAGGGCAGTCCACTGTGTGGATGTGGTGGCCTCAGTCACAGCTGGATTTAGGGGTTTATATAGCATCCTTGAACTTGGTCACTGTCTCCATTCTGTTTGTTTATACCTCACTTCCCTCTCAGAGTCACTCTGCACAAGGCAATGAGATGGCCACTGTTGGCTCCAAGACAACGTCATCTTTATAGCTTGTGAACTTGGGAGAAAAAGCACTTTCCTCAAAGGCGTTGGCAAAAGTACGAGGGAGGAATTCCATTGGGCTGGCTTGGATCATGTGTTCTCCTCCAAACCAACTGCTATGGCTGGTGGGTTGGAGAATTTTGATTCCCCAGCTCTGACCGCCAACCACGTCTAGGAAGAGGGGTAGGGAAGACAGGGACCGTCCTCCTCCTAAAAGACTGCACAGGACTTCACACCGTGTGCAGGACAGCTCACATTCCAGAGGGGGGGATGGAGCCCTAAACACAGTGTGAAGTTTGGGGTGGAACCATTCTGTCGTTTGGGGTGGAACCATTTTTTTGTTGCTGTTGTTTCATGGATGACACTTATTTCTCTGTGTTTCATTCTTTGTTGCTTTGATTGGGTTTCTGCAGAATGCCTCTGCTTTGCCACCTTTGACCAGAGAGCTTTCTTTTCTTCTTTCTCACTCGAATAATCCTAACAGCCCTTGGTACTTTACACATAAACCTTTCAAGTGTTCTTCATCGTTCCTCAGCCCATGGTGAGGGCTGGGAAGAGATGGGAGCGAAGGAGCAAGTTATTCCCATTTTGCAGATTAAAAACTGAGCTCCCAAAAGTGTTGAGAGACATGCTAAACAGCACACAGCTAACTCGTGAGGCTGAGAGAATAACCAAATCAGGGGTTCCAGCCCCAGCAAAGAGTTCTGACTCTACAATGAACTGTCCTTTCCTCCTAAAAATTAATTTCCAAACCATAATAGTTTGAACAATATTTGCACAGAAAAGGGAAATCAAAAGTAGGTTTACAGTTGTGAGTAATGAAACAGTTAATAAAGCTATTGTAATAATCATAACCTGCATGTCATTTTCCATAGGGACAGCAATAAACTTACTTTGGCCCACCTTTGTGTACATATTTTAATGAACGCTGTTAAATCCTTATAGCAACACAACGGAGGACAAAACGGAGTGTTGCTAAGGAGCAAGCCTGCCCGACTCCAAAGGAATCCTTAACGGGACGCACAGAGACTGCTGTGACGGGCACACGGGTCATGTGATGACTCGTGAAGTCCTTGAGAGTGTGTGCTCTTTCGGAAAGGTAACGCGTTGCCCAGGATCTTATCTGTGATGATCTCTTGATTAGCAAACCCTTTTCCATGACAACTAGCATGAGGCTAAACGCCAGTCCACCCCATGATTAAGTTAGCTATCTGCATTCTAAATTAAACGTGCACAAATCAACGTGCTTTCACTGAATTAAACTGCTCTTTCCCTCCTTCCTCCCCCCCACTCCTCAGCCCGAGCACTCAGTCTGAGGTGGCTGCGCCCACCCTCGTCCCTGCACGGGGAGCGTGTCCTGTCTTTCTCTGTCCCCTTTACCCGTCTGCCTGTGTCCCAGGCCGCTTCCTCTTCTAGTTGTGCGTGCCCTCCCCTCCCCTCCTCGGCAGACCCGCTCAGGACAGGACTCTTCACTTCACAGTTTACGGGCGAGAGAGGAAAACAATGTTAATTGAGGGTAAGGCTTTTGCATCAAAACTGGGAATACTCCACTGCACAGCAAAGATCATTTCTTGGAATTATTCACTTAAATGTTTACAAGAAACGATGATCAAGTGTCCCGGATTGATTCACAAATGTAATTAATGAAAGGACTGCTAATAGTTTCCATTTGCTGGTTTGTTTGAATCCTACTGTATAAAAATTTTATTTTTTATTTTTTTTTGGCACCTCAACAAAATCCCATCCAGTGATTAAAGGAGCTAAAGATTCACAAAGCAGCAATGTCGTTCGCAGTGAGACCTGCCAGGATATGCTGCAAACCCAGCTCTGCCCTAGCCATTCCCCGGGCCAACGCCACGCTAACAAAACAAGGGAAACAATGAGCAATTAGTGCCCACGCCTCACGGTTTTGGACAGGCGGGAAGAAGCACGTCCAGGCCCTAACTGACTGCTTCTTTGCTTTGGTGGAATAAGCTACGTCACTGAGAATGCCTTTGCTGTCCAGGCTGAGGAAGACATAATGAACTCTGGCTGGCCAGGCCTCTCTGCAACATCTGAAGGCTTGCGAAAATGAAAAATAAATTAAAAAAAAACAAATGAAACAATAAACAGCGCTTGCCTGGTGTTCCCTGGTCAGCCTCCATCCCTGTGCGGCTGGGCGCAGCAGGGTGCCCGCTCCCGGCACCCGTCTCCACGGGCCTGTGCTTACGCTCTGGGTCACGGCCTGTTCTTACTCAGCAACAGCAAAGGGTTTGTGGCCATGGCCAGTCTCATGTGTTGTGCTCGACTCCCCAAGTCCCAATCTGAAGTTTTGTTCTCTTCCACTTAAGGAGACATTTCATTGTCCCTTTAATTTACAAAATGTTCTGAATGCAAGGCGACCTTACAAGGACGATGAGGTTGCCTAACAGAAATCCCGCATGTGCCACGCTCCCCGGGCTGTCAGCACAAGGTCAGCGCGGCGGGACCAGCCGGCTGCCAAGCAGCCAGTTCGGGGAAGGGTTCTGAGCACGTAACCTGTGTACAAAGCAAAGTCGGGCCTGAGATCTAAAGTGAGGGCAATGAGGTCTTGGTCTTGAAATGGGCCGCGGAATTTAATCTTGGTAGACAAACTTGAACTGGGCAGCTGTCCATAATGACCCAATGGAAAGTCATGGAAAAATATCTCTGAATGACCCTGTCCGGCCCAAGACCTTCTGCCTATTTAGGACCATGACTGGCTGGGACTGGAAACAGAGCCTGCTCTCGCCCTGACTCCCAGTTATTCAAGGCTGCCTTCGGGGAATGCCAGGGTAAGAATCCACGTGGTCCATGCAGTGAACATTTCCTCACAAATCCTTAATACGACAGGACATTTGTTCCTCACTTTTCTGGGAAAAGCCCTGGAAAGTCCTATCCAGGAACATGATACGGTATGAACTTAGGGCTCCCCAGATTGGAGGCAAGGAGTGGAAAGGATGAAGGTATCAGTGAGAATTAGTGTGAAGGAAAAAAAAAAAAAAAAAAAAAAAGCCCTATCTAGAAACATGGTATGAAATAAAGTAATTCCCAATCATTCATTTTATGAGGGATCAGTAGAGGGATGTCATGGAAAGAAATCCACAGGACGCTCCTGCTTTAACTATTAATTTGAAAAATAAAACGTCCAAGTTTCTACTGGAGAAGAACATAAACTGTCTCCTCCTTTGTGGAGCTAACAATAGTGAACTAACACAAAGGGAGAGATCAAGAGATTCCAGGCCAGGCAAGAATCCCAAATAACACAAAGAGAATGATCAGTCCCCCTCAAGGGCAGGCTACAACAACCCAGCCGAAACCAGGACTTTAATCTGACAGTCCTATCAAAGCAGCATGTAGGCAAGTATGAGCAAGTGTTTTCCTAAGGTTTAAATGGGGAACGATGTAAAATCAACTCCATTCAGCTGTGAGAAGAAATCTTCCCTTCTCATGTGTCGCTAACTTAAAATTTGCTTTCTATAAAAGAGGACATGTGAACCAATCGTCTGCATAAGCTAGAATACAAACTGTTCAGTGACACTGCTGCCCTCACCAGAAAAGGCAAATAAAAAGAACACTGACCCTCCGCTTCTCCGATGAGACGGCAAGGGTGTCGCCTCTTTGAACACTTCTTGCTCCTTGATTTCTCTGAAGCCTCCGTCGTAAGTGAGCTGAAGTGGGCGACTCTTTATGTGGCCAGCGGCCTTTGGTTCTGTTAAATAAATCCCATTGATTTTCACCGGAGAGTCCCCCATACTAATTGTGTCTCTGGATTCCACTGTCTTCTTTCCTGTAATAACCAAGGAAATGTTTTGTCAAAGCATTTCTTAGTTTAGGAATCACCATCTTTTAATATAAGAATGTATACAATTTAAGAATTACGTCATTTATAATCAAGTATGGATACAACGTCCCTGGACGTATGAGACCTCACCACTGTTTTAGGCTTGGCATCATCAATTCAGCAGGTAAAAATGAAGAGGATCTTATTTCTATTAGCTTGGGGTCTACTTAAGGCAAACACTTAAATTTAGATTTATGAACTAGGTCCACATACATACCCTGCATGCCATCATATTCCTAAATGCAATCATGTTAGTAATTTATGATTAAAAAAAAAAAAAGATGGTTATTGAGCGCCCCCCTGATGTCAAGCACTGTCCTAGCCATGTAGGATATATTGGTGACAAATAAAGTCCCTGACCTCATTGGGGTCACATCTGAATAGGTATAAACAGATAATGAGTAATACACCATAATAAATAAGGCATATAAGACAAGTGTGATGGAAAAAAGCAGAGGGAGAAAAGTGGAGAAGGGTAAAGGGGCCTGGAAAAGGGTGGACCCTTGAAGGAGGTGGGCACCTGCCCATCAGATGCCAAGGGACGGGGTTGCCAGCAGAGGGGAAGCAGATGCGGAGGCCCTCGGGCAGGACTGTGCCTCACATGTTCAAGGAGCAGCAGGCGGGGAGTGTGTGAGGGGAGGAGAGGGGGAGGGGGGCCTGGCTGGGTCGCGGAGGCTGGCAGGTCATTACCAGCTGGTGAACGGAGGGGTGCGCTGCAGCCCACCCAGGCTTTCGGAAGGGGACCACGATAGAGTTGCAAAAAGATGTCCAGCCTCTGAACCAAAACGCCTTCCTTGTTTATGGCTGCAGAGTCTTATACTCACAATACAGCACTGACACAAAGGATGGCTTATCCATGCTGCTGCTACTCTACCCTCACCTGTGATAAAATATGTTTTCAAAGCGGAAGGGGGAATGAGCTTCATACACAAAAAGACTGTTTTGCAAGCTTTTCCAAAACAACTCAAGGTTTCCTTCTCTGCACTTGAACCAACAATCCAATGGAAACCGACGACAAAGCCACCCAGTCCACGCCTCCGACCGAGCTCCTTGCGTCCGCACACCGAATCGGAAAGCAGAGGGAAACCTGAGGGGTTGGCGCGGCTCGCCATCATTTTTCAGGTGAGAAAGCTGGGAACCCCAAAGGCTAAGGGACTAGTGTGAGGTCACAGAGGACGTGCAGGGCAGTGGGAAGAGAGTGGGCTCTGCATTTCAGCAGACGTGGGCTCAAGTGTGACGACAGGACACTCCACTTTTCCCTCCCCTTCCTCCGTGACCCCCACTTCTTGGGGACGTGGTGAGAGTTAAATGACATGGCCTAGTGACCTGTCCACTCAAAACCTAGATGTCAGTGTCGTCATTATTCATGGAACGCAAGAGCCCTGGCTGCTGGCCCAGGGCTGTCTGCACGGCGCACGCTCTCTTAGAGATCTCTGCTACCACATCACAAGGCAGAGATCACCAAGAAGCTTTAGCCTGTGCCTGTGTCTTAGCATGTGTTTCTTTCATTCATTCTCTCCTTGAACATTTATTCGGCACCCACGCCAGTGGGCCAGCTGCTGCTCCAGCTGCTGGTGGTCCCGTGGTGAACGAGAAGTCCCAGCCGCCATGGGCTACTGGCCTAGAGCGGGGAACCTACCCACCCGAGAGCTGAAGGAGCTGCACCCCTTTGTCTTCACAGTCTGCCGGGGGGGAGGGGGGGAGCTGGCAGCTACTCCTACAGCGCAGGCCGCCTGGGCCCGCTCCTGCTCCCCTGCTCCGGATGGAGCGCCGCCATCTGACTGAGCACGAGAGGCGGTGCAGGGTGACTCCCCGGCAGATCTCTGCAGCTCGCGGTGCTCGCTTTGTAACGGGTCAGCACTGCCACGCAGGAGCGGTGCCAGCGCACAGACATGCTTTACCAGCTGCTGTATGCCAGACCCTGTCCTACTCTCTCTGGCTACAACTAGAGGAAAAGCTCTCCGCCTCTGAAGTTACTCAGTCTAGTAAGGGAGACAGAGAAGCAGACCTGGGTAATGAGAAAAATGCAGTACAGACAAGTGTAGTGGTCGGAGCCAGGTGAGGGTGACAGAGAGAATGGGGGAGCCCTGAGGGGTTGGGACTTGGTCGGGGGAAGATTCAGGGAAGAGGTGGGGAGCCTGGGAAGCATTTTGAAGGGTTAGCAGGAGGCAAAAAGGAGTTCTGAGAAGGAGGAACAAAAGCTTCGAGTCCCAGCCTCGTGAGTGTACAAACTGGATAGTCGAGCGGGCCCAGCTGAGAAGGGCCCCGTATGGGCTTAATGTTTGCTATTGCCTGAAATCCTGAATAGTTTTTTGACAGAGAGCTCCACATTCTCATTTTGCACCAGGTCCGACAAGTTATACAGCAGGCCCCGCGTGAGGCTCCTAATAACAGGACCGGCAGGTCCGGGGAAATGCAAGAAATTCCACGTTGTTGGTGCATAGCCTGCGGGGTGGGCTAGGCCAGGGAGGGTTGAGAGAAGGGCCTGGAGACTTAGACTGATCACAACCGGGCTGTACATCCGAGGAGTGGGGGCTTCATCCCCCAGGCCAGGCATCAGCAAACTACCACCACGTCTGGCCCACCTCCCGCTCTGGGAGAGCCTGCAAGCAAAGAATGGTTTTCATATTTTTTTAAATGGTTGGAGGTAAAAACCAAAAGGAAAACCATGCTTTGTAACATGACAATCATATGAAATTCAAGCCTCACCGGCCACCAATCAGTCTATGCTTGCTCTCCGTAAGGGCAGAGTTGAGTAAATGTACAGACTGCATGACCTACAAGGTCTGACATATTGACTATTAGGCCCTTTACAGGAAAAGTTTGCCATCATCCGTGCTAGGTCGGTGTTTCTCAAACTGTGTTACCCCAAAGACAGGTTCCACAGCCAAGCAGACTTGTGAAATGCTGGGCTGGATTAAAATCAAACAGTTTCTTTACCAGACGGCCTTTACCAACCATCCGAACGTGCTCGCGTGCACTGCATCTCTCCGAGAGGGAGAGCACATACGTGCACCTTTTTCCAAGAAAAAGCTATTCATCTTTTGCTAAAAGTCCCCTGGAACTCAGCTTGGCAAACACTCTTTCTAGGCACAGGGTTTTCAAGCAAGAAGATGACACAATCTGATGTTTGTTTGCTTCCTGACCTCTTATCCCCGATGGCACACACACACACAACATGATTTTTTCTGGCCCGGTGAGATGGAGGGCCAAGGCCCACAGCCACGTCTGGTTGGGAGCGTGGCTTCCCCGGGCTCTGCTGGCTGCTCCACGGGCTGAGCCACCTTATGTTGACCCGCTTGCAGCCCCCACAGAGGGTGAGGGTGGAGCCAGACAGGAGGGCAGGAGACCAGGGTCAAGGCCAGAGGTGACCAAGGCAGTGAGGCAGAGGTGGGACAGGAGAACGCAGAGCTGAGAAGTATTTAGAAAGCCCATGGAGGGAGCCCGTGGGGGGTTGGCGATGGCAAAGATGACAGTGATGGGTGAGAAGGGGCAGGCTGCACTGAGGTCTCTGTCTGGCTTGGATAACTGAGGAGATGTCAGCAACACTGCCCTCGCCAGCCAAAAACCGGACCCGGGACACGGAGCAATTGAATCCTGGCCCATGAAGATGGGTACACGCATCTCTTCCCCTTTCGTTTTCTGAAACTGGAAATTCCCACCCCGCCAGCACACCCCGAGCCCGGCCTGTGGCAGTAGCCGCTGCAGGTGACTTCACTCCGAAGGGAAGGACGTCACTCTGTCGCCACGAACACGGTTCCATTTACAATGACCCAGCAGAGGATCCCTTCTTTACACAAGAGATGGAACCAGCCCAGGGAACCCCCGTGCCGATGACAACGACACCGAGGCCAGGGCGCTACAATATATTGGTTAATGGGGCAATGTGCGCTTTTAAAGGGACAGCGCCTTTTAACTGCCACAGCTGCCTGGGTGCTGACACAGACCCAGGGGATGGTGGAAATGGTGAGGTGGCGGCTAAGAGAACCGCAGCGAAGACATGCTCTGGTGCAGCGTGGAGGCGTGAAGATGGCCTCGGTGCTGGGACAGGGTACCTGCCGCCCACGGCACCTCCCAGAGCACAACTGGGCGCTGTGGCCAAGGGCCAGGGGCTCAGGAGGGGAGGAGCTGGGCCAGGAGGGAAGCACGGAAGACCAGGTGGTGGGTGACACAGCCACCTGTTCCGGCACCTTCACAAAGCCGCGAATGGCTCGGGAAGCAGCAGGGTTCTCAGCGTGAGCTTCCCAGAGTTTAATGCATTAAACGTGGCTGCGGCATCCGCATTCAAGCCACCTAGTGAATGGCCATTCAGTAGCGCTTACCCAGCTCTGCCATCCTGTTCACAAGAAGTGACCCTGTTCCTCTCTGAGTCTACCTTCACCCCCAACCTTGGCTCCAGACCCCATCCCTCTCACCTTGTCAAGGGCTTTGCTCCTGCAGCTGCCACTCCCTTCTCTCCCCCTCCCCGCCCTGCCCCGCCTCTCTCTCTCTCTCTCTCTCTCTCTCTCTATATATATATATATATATATATATAAAATTGATTTTATATATATATATATATATATATAATTGATCATATATATATATATATATATATATAATTGATTTTTTACAGAGAGGAAGGGAGAGGGATAGAGTTAGAAACATTGATGAGAGAGAAACATCAATCAGCTGCCTCCTGCACACCTCTTACTGGGGATGTGCCCACAACCAAGGTACATGCCCTTGACCGGAATCGAACTTGGGACCTTTCAGTCTGTAGGCCGACCCTCTATCCACTGAGCCAGACCGGTTAGGGGCTGCCACCCCCTTCTGATAAACTGATCTGGCAGGGGCCCCAGTTGCTCAGGTGGCTGTCACGTGCCCCGACACTGAGACACGTAGGGTGGCTGATGTGTCCCCCTTGCTTAAACCCTGGCCTGGCTTTCCCCTGCAAGCAGAATGGAGCCGGAGCATTCCCCCCGGCCTGACCTGCGTGACCTTTGACCTCAGCTCCCGCGTCGCTGGAGGGATGGCTCTCCTGCTCTACGCATCACCGAGTGACAGCCCCCCAGCACTGCCTGACTTTTCTCTCCTGGATGCTGCCTCTCCAGCTCTGTCAGGGGACTCTGGGGACCACAGGAACCAGCCAGCAACGTGAGCTAAGTGGCTGGCGACATGGGGAACAGAAGTCACATCCCGGGCTAACAGGGTGGGCACCCTCTGCTCCAGGCCTTCTCCTGGGGCTGCACAGAATGGGGGCGGGAGTGGCTGGACCGTTAGATTTTCCATAAGAAGTCACAAGCCTGGACTCTCCCAGGAGCTCTGCATTAAAGGGTGGTGAATGCAAGGCAATGCAAGAAACAAGGAGGCGCCTCAGTGTGGCCCGCAGCCTCCGGCATCCCTCCTCGGTCACCTCCGCTGGGCGGCTGCTGCCCTCCCTCCACCGAGCCTCAAACTGCAGGAGGGCCAGTTCCCTCGGCCCCGGGCAAATGGTTTTCCGCCTTTTCTGACCACATAGAGTAATACTAAATGTATAACATGATCGAAAGAAACTGCGCTATAGAATACATTTACAACATGGCCCTGAACACACAGGTGTGTGCCTGAAAAAGTCTCTCCAAGTAGCACGTGTTCCCCCTGTTGTCTGCCGTGCACCCCAGCATTTTCCATTACATGCTGCTCTACTTCATTAAAAAAAAAAAAATGCTTGGAGTGATCCACTAAATTGATGGTCATCCCACTGATGGGGGATGTTCCCTGGTTTGACAAACTCTTAGCTTGCCCTGGCAGGGCCACCTGGTGGGACCACGCCTTAGTAGGCCCCTCTGTCCCCAGGGTTAGACACCTGCCAGCAATTCCACAACAGCAGGACAACCCCCTTCAACTTTGGCTTACATTTCCCCAGGGGATCCGAGAGGTCCTGCCAGAGACCCAGGCTTGGTGGGCGTTATATGAGTCTTAAAAATGCCTAATAGTTTGGGACAGTGGTCGGCAAACTCATCAGTCAACAGAGCCAAATATCAACAGTACCACGATTGAAATTTCTTTTGAGAGCCAAATTTTTTAAACTTAAACTATATCGGCAGGTACATTGTCATTAACTTAACTAGGGTACTCCTAAGCTGGCCACTGCCAAAAACTCAAGGGGCCAAAGAGCCGCATGTGGCTCTCGAACTGCAGTTTGCCGACCGCTGGCCTAATGACATGGACAATTTCTCAAACTCCAATTTTAAAATCATTTATCCAATAGCGATAAACCCGTTTATTAGCACATACTGGTCCTCATATCCTTTTTCTACCAAGTAACGGTTTTTTGAAAACTATGATATTTAGGCATTCTTGATAAACACCCAGAAAAATACGTGAACAAGATTTCTTACCCAGCTTTCGCACACTATTAACTGAGTCTTAGTTCATGTTAAAAAAAAAATACGATATAAAAATAGCATTTTGTGTGCAAATTGGAGAGACACGCGCGCCCCCGGTGTAAGACGGTCCCTGGGCCTTACGCTCGGCGGCGGGCGGCGTCCGGTCCGGCAGCAGCGCCCCCTGCGAGGCCGCCCTGAACAGGCGCGCCCGGGCGCTGCTGATCCTCCGCATCTTCACAGGGTCCACCGGGGGCTTCGGGAGGGAAAGGCCGGGCTCCCCTTCTGCGGGGGGAGGCGCCGGAGCTTTCGGTTTCTGGAAAGAGAATGTTTAAAGGATTGGCGTGAGTTTCTGTGTCTCATCCCAGACTCGCCCCTGGGCTGGCCCTGCCCCTCCGCTGAGCACAGGGCTGGTCCCGCCCCGGCTCAAGTCTCATTGGCCATCTTACTCTGAAATGCGTTATACAGATACTTCTTGTTCAGTGTTTTTGTCAAATGTATTAATTACACGACGTCCTACTTAGTGTTTTAAAAAACAACACCAGTTTATCCATGCTAGCAAACAGCTGGATAACATTCATTAGACTCGCAGTGTTTCCCAAAGTGTGGTACGCATACCCCCAGGGGTATGGGAAGAGTTTGGTGGGGGTACGCATTGCACGGGAGTTTGGTGGGGATATGCACTGCACCCTGCTTAGCTGCGCCTAATTCTACGTTCTCATGAGTACGAGGGGTACTCAGCGTTACGAAAATTATAGAAGGGGTACGCATATGTCAAAAGCTTGGGAAACACTGCATTAGAGGATATTCAACATGCTTTGCAAATTTATGTGTTCAATTCAGTTCAGAAAATATGTACTGGGCACCTATTTGTGTCAAAAACTATGTGGAATATAAATACTATCATTACACATTTTGGACGCCACAAAAGTACTTATTTAATGACATAAAATTTGTTTCTTAAAATATGTTTTTACTTATTTCAGAGAGGAAAGGAGAGGAGGAGAGAGAATCATTGATTGTCTATCTCCTGCAGGTCCCCTACTGGGGATCAAATCCAAAACCCAGGCATGTGTCTGAATGGGTGTGTGAATAGAACCATGACTTCAAGGTTCATGTATCGATGCTCAACCAATGAGCCACACTGGTGGGCAATGGTATAAAATTTTAGGAAGTAATTTGAAGTCACTTTCAAAACAAAAGCAAGAAGTTGTCTTGGACTTATGACATAAACATGTCTTATTTTCCATATCTTTAGAATTCTATGCTCATATTCTTTGAAAATAAACATTACTGGAAAAATTCCAATTCCTTAAAGACTTTTAAAATGCCAGCACCAGGCACTGTGCCGCCCAGTGCATCCTCATATCTACCTTCACCCAGAACCTCATGGAAGCCTAACCCCCACTTTCAGTGTTGCCTGGGGGTCAGTGCTTCCTCCTTCCAACTTGAGCAGAATTATGTCTGTGAAAGAGCAATCTTATGGCCATAGTGCTTTTGGGGTCTCTAACCAAAAATAATCAAGTTCAAGTTCCTCACATCACTTACATAAACATGTGAAATCCCACAGGTTCATCAATAAATATTTTAAAAATCCAGTGTGAACTTCAAGTCAGATAATTTGAAAAAATGAGTGAAGTCATCTATCATATATGACACATAATTTTAAACACATTTTTTTCTTATATACATTAAGAGAACAAATGCTTCTATACTAGAGTTCTCCCTCCAAGGAGTTACTTATTTCAATGATGATGACATCTTTCAAAATATTTTTTTCTTTTCCAATTACAGTTGACATTCAATATTATTTTTCACTCAAAATTATTTTATATTATTCAATATTATTTTATATTAGTTTCAGGTGTACTCAAAATATTTGTTCATTTACATCTGAAAGCAGTTCATGAACCACATAAAAATTAGTTATGACTTTAGGGACACATACTTCTAAATACAGCTAGAAAACGTAAATAAAATAACTAGCATACCGGCAGTGTTTCCCAAAGTGTGGTACACGTATCCCCAGGGGTACGGAAGAGTTTGGTGGGGGTACACGTTGCACCAGAGTTTGGTGGGGATGTGCACTGCTCCATGCTTGGCTGCGCCTAATTCTACGTTCTCATGAATACGAGGGGTACTCAGCGTTACGAAAATTATAGAAGGGGTACACATCTGTCAAAAGTTTGGGAAACACTGGACTATAGAGGAAGAGTAAATGACTTTGGAATCAAACTGTTCCAGAGTGGAACCCACTGCCTAGCTGTGTGAACTTGGGCTGGCAACTGACTTCTCTGAACTTGCCCAGCTACCAAATGGAGACAACAGTCCCCTGTAAGGGACACTAACCTATAGACAATCCCTGTTATGGAGGCTCCAGGCATGCTAGCTACCTTCCCTATGTGAGTGACTTACTCATGATTTACCGAATTTGGCTCCAAGTTACTTTTAAGTCACAAAGCCAGGGCCCTAGCCTCTGACACAACCTTGCTCAGAAGAAAAATCCTGAATTCAGAGGCAACTATTCTGAGGGAGACAACACTCATTTGTCTGTAAATTTTCTGCTATATTTGTTTGATAAATAGTCACTTTATTTTTTATTCTTCCTAATGTATTGCAAAATATTCATTAGAATATGACTTAGGCCATAAGCTAAGAGTAACAAAAAAAGCTAAAAGCATATAAAATGGGAAAGTAAGTGATTTAGGTATAATTATGGAAGATAAGATACATTAGGACAATCTCAATATTGAATGTAGATAAGAGATATTCTTATCTCAAAATGTTTGTACTCTGCAGGTACCTTGAATAGGAAGCAAAGACCAAAGAGCCTGCCAAATAATAATAATGTAGATAGATAAATGTTTGTTTGTTTGTTTTATAAATTCCATAACTATTCTAAAAGTTTGGGACACTAAATAAAAGATCTTATAAAAAGGGAAAATATAGTTTTGCAAAGCTAAGCTTTACCCAATAACTGAATTACCTCTGATGAAAGATAAAGCCCTTTCCTGCTCCCTGATAGAAGGCAGGATTTTCCTAGTGCAATGCTGGTCAGTGTTGGCATAAAGACAAATTAGTTCCAGTTACTGTTGACCTTTACTAAATCATTTATCTCATTTAAACATACACCTCACTGGTCTACTTAAAATATAAAATGACACATGTAAAGCATTTTTAAATTCGTCAGGGAAAATGACTAAAGAAGCCATCAATTTCTATCATGGCAAGTTCTACAAAATGGTCTTCCATGTTGCAGAGCAAAATGGTGTTTATAGAGCAAAACAGTAAAAATGTTTTCAATATACAATTTGTGGCATTTTAGAATTTAGAGAAGGTTTCAAGTAAATATCAATCTTCCTCCCCCAAGTTGTGTGTCATGATATGAAACAGGGACTTGAGTATAATCAGGGACATTGGAGAGTCAGAATTTAAGATTTCTTCTGATGGATAAAGCTGCTCCAGTCCTTTGAAGACAGAGAGAATACTTTCACAGAACCACCTGATGGAAGAAGACAAGATTCCTGGAACACCTAAGGGATCTGGCTGGCTCAGCTCTCCTCCCAGCACCTGGGCCCTGACTGATTTCTGACCTGGATCCTTGGGATCCATCACCAGTTGGGAACATGGGGTGTCCCCTGTTCTAATGAAGGCTGGGAACGGGAGTCTATGACATCCCACCCAGAAAGTTGCTATGATTTAATTTGTAAAATAGAAGTGCGCACACACACACACACACACACACACACACACACACACACACACACGAGACAAACACACACATCTCTTGGAAGTTAGAAAGCAAATATTAAAAATTCTCCCAAGCACATGATGTTTGCATGTGGCAATCGGACATGATTTCTATTACCATGATTTTCTCTTGCAGGTACCCTGGGCTCTTCTGTCTTTCCCAGCAGGTGACTCACAGAAGTAATGCTACTACTCCTTCCAGACACAGTGAAAGACATTGCTTTGTCTTAGTCTGCTTTTTCTCACCCTGAATTTTCTCTAACCTCAAGGTATGGACTTCTTAGTCTCCATCTTTTAAAAATATATTACATTTTATTTTTCTCACCAAATACTTGGAGCTTGGTTCCTATCTATATCTATAAAAGCCTAAGCAACCATTAAGACCAAACGACCAGAACCATTGGTGGACCAGTCTCTGTGATGCACACTGACCACCAAGGGGCCAATGCTCAACGCTGGAGCTGCCCCTTAGTGGTCAGTGCACTCCCACAGCCAACCTCCCATGGCTCCTCCCACCCCCACAACTATCCCCCCATCCGCCCATCAGCCCCGATGGGCCCCAATCACTGGCCAGGCTGAGGGAGCCTACCTGTGCACAAATTCGTGCACTGGGCCTCTAGTAAAATATAAAAAATAACAGCTCGAACTAACATGTGCTGTGAGCAGTGAGGACAGTAGTCACTGTAGGGAGGTGTTGTCTGAAGGGCTGGCAATGGTCTGTTTTCTTTGAGTGCCACTTACTGAGTGTGCTGAGCTTGTGTATATTTATCAAGCTGCACCCTTAGAATCTGTGTCTTTTCTGTGTGTCAATCAAAAGTTTAATAAAAATACCTGGTGCTTAAGTAACAACACTTTGTAAGGTTAGGAGACACTGGGGGAATTCTGTTTTGAAAGTGATAGTGAAGAAAGACACAATTCCCTATTTATTCACACAGTCCCATGTCCTTTCCTACTGCTACAATCAAAGCATGAGAGCAGCTGTCCCTGTGTCTATGAATCTGAATGCCAGCAAACCAGAGCTCCAGAGTGAAAGCAGGAATAGCTGCCGCCACACAGCAGCGTGGTCTCAGAGCTGCCAGGGAAGGTCGGGGCTGCTAAGAAGGGACAAAGATGTGCCTAGGCATTCCTACCACAGATCGATGTAAATGTGAAGGGAAGACTGTACAGCGCAAGGCTTTCCTCTTTCTTACACAGTCATACATGCTAATGGGGACCCTGGTGAGCCCGTCGGACCAGCCAGCCAACACCTCAGTGGCCAGGACTAGGAGCATTTGTTTTCCCACCACTCTCTGAAGCCCAGGTCATTTCTGAGTGCAGGCAGCCCACAGCCAGATGGTGAGAAACAGAGAGGAGGGTACCGTGTAAGCGCAGAGCTCAGCTGATCTGTTATATGTGGGAGCTGGAAAGAGTTGCTCCATGGATCCCTCTTCCCTGTCTGACGGATGGTTGAGGAATTCTTAAACAAGCCTGAGAAAGTGTCCTAGATCCAAATAGTGTGGGAATTCAATTGTTTAGGACTTCACAAATTCTTTGAGCAAGTTTACCTCTAACTATTAGATACCCTACCCCCACCTTCCTCCTTTATCCTGTCTTCTTTGCCCCCTTCTCCACCCTCCCATTCTCACTTCCCTTTATTCCTCCCTTTGTCAAAGGACAGGTAGAGTGAGGCCCCACTTGCAGAGTTTCTTGATTGGGAGCTCCAAATTTTATTGTTTAAAATAAAATATACTTAAGACCCTTACATGATCCACTATTAACAAAAATATTTCAAACTAAAAGTGCTACTTAACTTAAGATGGGGATTTCTTAGCCCATTTTTACTTTGCACCTAGCACCCAACCATTCCACAGGAAAGAAATTTAACAGCAATAACCTTAAACAGAGGCCAATGCCAACATTATCTCTGCCTAACACCCAACCTCACAGTCTCAGAATGGTACCAGTTTGACAAGGACAAGATTTACTCTTAGAAATAGAAATTTTTATGAAAGAGTGGGGGAAGGAATTGAGTGAGTCCCAAAAAACTACAGCAATATTAAAAATGATTGATAGGAGACAAATGGCAGAATTATAGATTAGAGAGTCATTCTACAACCAGCTAGACCATTGGGCTGCACAGGTGAGGTCCTCTTACTACAGTTGGCTCAAAACCCAGTGGTAGGTGCGAGAAGCCATATGTCAATAATGACCAGCTCATAAATACTATTTTGGAATCTTACTTTTATCATCTGCAATATAAGAACAAGTATAATCTTCTTCACAAAGGCCTTTTGATGAGTACTTGAAGACTATGTGATACATTTTGAGACAGATGGTAATTTGGACATGGACTATATATTAAATTATATTAGTGAGTAATGTTCATTTTCTGAGACATAATGATAGCATTGTGGTTACATAGGAGACTATCCTTGTTCATAAGAGATGCACACAAATTTTTATGGATAAAGTCTTACAATGTCTGAAACTTTCAAACAGTCCACCAAAAACACACACATACACAGTAACAAAAATTGAGAAGCAGCTTGAGTGACACTCCAATTCCATAAAGGTCTAAGGAGTTGATGTCACTGGTACTTGTAGTAGCAGGGGCATAGGGAGGGGAACCTAAAATAAGGATTGGCTGCAGGTCTGTGTGATTCTCTCCCAGCTCTATATAATCAGGCTACATAACCCAGGAGTAGATTAGAGGTTTGTTCTCTCAAGATGGTAAAACAGCAGCTCTGAATCAGGCTAATCTGAATCAGGCACAGTTGGTAGTCAGGGTACTTTATGTAAGCATAGATATTAATGGAACATTTAAACTCTGGATGTCAGACATTCCTACCTTCTTCTTCTACCTGATTCCTGGAAGTTAGAACCAACTTTTATCCTCCAGGCAAGAGTCTAGAAGACACTTCTATAGAAAATTAACTAGCCCTCAAGGAAAGCCCTAAATATATTGCCATTGGGAGTTTCATAAACAACCCAGTTCAGCCAGAACCCTCCCCTCTAAATGTAGGTGTTGGGCCCAGCCTGTGTTGCTCAGTTGTTGAGTGTTAACCTATGAACCACAAGGTTATGGTTTGATTACCAGTCAGTGTGGGGTGGGCAGGAGGTAGCAGATCAATGATTCTCTCTCACCATTGATGTTTCTATCTCTCCCTCTCCCTTCCTGTCTCTGAAATCAATAAAAATATATTTTAAAAAATAATAAATGTGGGTGTGGGTAGGTATAACCTATGTGTTGACCAACCCATTCTACATGCTACCACCCTCAAATAAGGGCAGCCAAGCAAGCAGCATTAGCTATCTGAGAAGAGCCTCTAATATGAAAAACAAACGAAACAAACAGAAAAATGCATCAAGACACAGAGAAAAGACCATGTGAAGACACAGGGAAAAGATAGCCATTCACAAGTCAGCAGAAAGTCCTTAGAAGTAATCAACCCATCTGCCACCTTGACATCAGACTTCCAATCTTCAGAACTGCAAGGAAATAAATTTTGTGTTGTTTAAGCCACACACACACACACACACACACACACACACACACACACACACCAGAAATTTTAAAGGGAGAAGAAAACAACTAAAAAAATAAAAACTATCATTAATATATGCAGTTAAGAAGCTACAACCATGAAACAAGAACTGAACACTACATTTTTTAAATGATAATTTAAAGGGGGAAAGCTTTTGGAAAATTAAAAATGTGATAGCAGAAATGAAAAGAACTCAATAAAATAACTAGAAGATAACATCTCTTCTAAAAAAAGATGAGAAACAGAAAAGAGGAAATACAAAAATTAAAGTGCCAATCCAGAGGCTCCCACATCCAAATAATGAATTCCAGAAAGAGTAAACAGAACATAAAAGAGGGGAAGACGTATCAAAACAGTTGAAGGGCATTTCCGAGAGCTGACTCCTCACTGAAAGTGCCCAGCAGGATGGATGAAAATGGACTAAAGCAAAGGCCCGTTATCATAAAATTTCAGAACACTGGGAACAAAGAGAAATTCTACATACTTCCAGAGAGAAAAACAGCAATGGAGGTCTCAAATAATTCCTTCCCATGCACCCCTTCTCAGGAAGTTAGAGGAGGGAGTGCTCCACCAAATCGACAGTGAATCCAGAAAGGGGAGGACTTTGGATACAGGAAGCAGGACCTCCAGCACAAGCGGGAGAAGCCAGCTGTGCTCCAAACACTCAGGGCAAGTAGTCCAGGACGGAGGGTGGAAATTCTCCAAGGAGAGGAATCAACAGAATACCTAATGTGCCTCACTGTACGAAGAAGATGTAAAGCACTGGGAAGAGTTTGGGATTGAAATTGTAATAATACAAAACAAGAAGAAAAAAAAAAAAAAAAAAGCAAGGCAATTACTAATCCCAGGGAAAACAAAAAAATGATACAGGGAAGAAGAAGCGATCATCATCAATCATTACTATTATAGTTCCAGGCTCAGCAGTAAACAAGGTTAATATAATCATAGAAAAGCACTCTAGCCAAAGTTATGCTATATCTACACTGGGAGTAGCAGTGGGGACAGAATGGGTGAATGTGTTGTGAGGAGGCATTGGAGGATAGACAAGAGTTAAGACTTCATCTTCCTTAATGGGAAGTCATTAGGTAATTTCTCAAGCTCCTAAGTCAGAGAGCAGCAAGACCCTGTGCTATTTAGAAATTTGGATGAAAAACAAAACAAAACAAGAACATGTGCCAAAAGTGAGAGCCACTGGTGAGGGGAGAATGAAGAAGAAGGGGACAGGAGACTGCTGGCGTTGTTTTGGTAGCAAACATTTGACCTTTTATGTTCATGTTTTTGTTTTTATATAACTATTACAAATAAAAGGATACCTAGGCATAACTTTTTTGAATTAAAAAAATGCTGTGAAACATTTGGTTTGCCAGGTTACTCTGTATTTCTAAAAATTCCTTATTATTAAACTGTAGATAAATAAAAATGTTTTATTAGATACTAACCATTATATTTGAAAAAGTATAAAATAATTTGTTTTCATATTAAATTATTAGTGTGTTAGGTCTATGTACTAATACTCTATCGAGTATTTTTGACCAATTCCATTTCACAGCTCTTGTGGCATAGGGTACTCACAAGCTCTAGCGGGCTGAGGCGTGCACCGGAAATGGGCCTGGAATCCGATGACTCAAAATTGGATGCATGGAGGCTAGCACAGGGGATGGAACAGAAATATTAGTTTGTGAAGAATCGTTTCTTTTATTTCTAGCCTATATTAGTTAACTCTAGCCCAAAACTAAAGCATTCAATGCAAAAGCCTTGAGCTATTTTAACAAATCATAGTACTTAAAACATTTTATTCATAAGTCTTTTCATTGCATTGGGTAGAATTGAAAATACTGAGTAATGAAAAGAAATCCATATGATGATTTTGAAAAGCTTTGTTCATATTGCTTTATAAAATAGATATGACATCCACTATTAACATTTGCAAGCCAGCTTCTTGGACCCAAGGCCTAAAATTACCTTTGAGAATCCTGAACAAATACAAGAGATAGAACTGGTATAATTCACAGAAGTCAAAGGGAACATGTCATCTCGTGGCTTACATATCTGGATGTACAGGAAAGAGAAGTGTCATCTACCTGAAGGAGGAAGGGGGTCTGTTTTCTGATGTCCTCGAAGATGCAGGTCCAAACAGTTTTCTTTGGCCTTCCTGTGGCGTGAATGGTCTTTGGGTCCCAACTGTTCTTAATGCATTTCGCGCTTCACTTATGATTTCTGCGCTGGTCTTCTGCTTGGCCACTAAAGATCGATAAAACGGATCCCGCTTCTCCAACTTTGGATCATTTGGAGACAGCATCTTTCCTTTTAAAGTAAAACCTTCTTCAGCTAGACACCACACCCTACAAATATATGACACAAAACATCAACACTGAGAAATTACACCACTTAGTAAGAGAAGCTTCAGTACAATGAACAAGTTTCTTCCAGAACCCAAATCTGGTTTGCAACTCTCCTGGCCCCACATGTCACCAATAAGTCTGGCAACATGCAAAGGTGATCTGACAAACCTAATGAAGATGAAAGTGCTTTGGATAAATAATGAACTATAATTCCTGACTAAGGTTCTCCCTGGCTGTACTAGGTTGCACTGAAAACTATGCTCTTTCATAGAGTAATGAAGCAGGAACATTTACTCAAGTCAAATTCTAGGAAGTCTGTAAATTATTTGGGCATACGGGAGTTTAGGCTGACCAAATAGTGGTGGGAACAATGCAAATAATGGACTTAAAAATTTTTGTCTCTAAATTTTTACCACAAATTCTACCACAATTTTTTCAACTTTCTTCTTTCTTCCCTCCTAAATCACATTTTAACTGTATATTGTGAAGAACTGTTTTAATAGTGTAAGGTCTGTACAGTTAATCTATTATTATGTTCATATTAATGTATGATTAAATCAAACATAAACATGTTCAATAACAGTGAACTGAGTTAGAAATAGGTTTTTTGGGGGGAGGAGGAGATTTTTTTGTTGTTGTTAAATTAAAAATTCTTTAAAAAAAAAACCCAACAACATTTTATTGATTTTTTACTAAGAGGAAGAGAGAGGGATAGAGAGTTAGAAACATCAATGGGAGAGAATCATCGATCAGCTGCCTCATGCACTGGGGATGTGCCCGCAATCAAGGTATATGCCCTTGATCGGAATCGAACCCTGGACCTTTTAGTCTGCAGGCTTACACTCTATCCACTGAGCCAAACCTGTTTTGGCTAAATTAAAAATTCTTATCATAGATGGTTTTTGCCAACTTAAAATAAACCCAATTGCTCAGATTAAAAAAGCTTGCCTCTTTAAAGTATTTCACATTAATATCATAGAAATCTTAACTTTACAAAATTTCTCCTGATAAATGGAACAAATCCATTTGGCTAGAACTGATTCAGTTTCCTGTGTGCAAAGCCCTCTGCTTGGAGCTCTGGGACCACAGATGGTAATAAATACTACCTTCACTCTCAGCAAGAAGGACCACTAATGCTGGTTAAACTTTTATTCCAATACCAAGCACAATGCCAAGTACTCTGAGTACATCATATCATGTAATCCCTACAACACTTCTGTGAGGTGGATAGAGTCTAAAGCAATAGAAAAAACAAAACCAAAAAAAAGCTGACATATGCCCAGAGATGATATTCCAACTACTACCAGCTAGATGGAGTAGTAGGAGGTGGGGGCATCAGAGGTTTTAGGCTGCAGCTGTTTACACACCACCTTAGAGACTGTGCCATTATTTTCACAACTGGAGTGGCCTTCTTGGTGGTTAGCAGCTGAGTATCAGCCCTACTTGTATTCAAATGATTTGAATACAAAGTAGAAATGGATGGGGCAATTAAAAAACAAAACAAAACAAAACACACCACCCTGTGATTACAAAAAAAAGGAGGGGGCTTCTGATTGGAGAAGGTGTCAGGTAGACTTCTTGGAGGAGGTGCTGCTTGATCTGGGTTCTGGAATCATGGGCTGATTTTGAGCAAGTGGCAGTGGCTGACACGGGGCTGGAGTTGAGAAGGAATTTCTAGCAAAGGCAATGAGTAAGCCACGGCAGAGTGCCAGGCATGCACGGGTGTGTGATGAATGAGTAGCAGCTCTGGAAATGAAGACTGGAGTGGAACCAGACAGGGAACTGAATGGCAGGTCAAGAGATTAATAAAAACTGATGAGGAAATTAAAAGATTTTGAGGTATGATGTGATCTGGCAGGGACTGGCAGGATGGAAAGAAGGGGAAAAATTAGAAACGACAAAATCAGGCAGATCTTCACAACCACCCAGCAAACCTCAGAGGGCTCCCTCCCACCCCCCCTCACTGTGGAAACGTTCCTCTCACCCTCCCAGCCTCAGGTGGGTGCCTGCCCTCCATACTCTCCAAGGTCCCCACCTGGTCTCTGTCAGCACACCCTCCCACTGTGCCTATACAACTGGTGCTGTCTCACCAGACTCAGCCCCAGCTCTGCGTGTGAGGCACAGCTGAAGGTCAACAATTGCATATAATTGCTGGATTCCATTTTCAAATTGTGTTTTTATTCATTTTTAGAGAGAAAGAAAGGGAGAGGGGGAGAGAGAGGGAAACATTGATGAGAGAGAAACATCGAACAGCTGCTTCCTGGAATGCACTCTGACCAGGGATTAGGCCTGCAACTTGGGCTTGTGCCCTGATTGGGAATCAACCTGGCAACCTTTTGATGCCAGACCATGCTCAGCCAACTGAGCCACACCAGCCAGGACTGGACTCCGTTTCTAAATACAGACCTGAGCAAGGAAATACCCAGGCGGAGGCTGCCTGGTTTCCGTAATTGGAGGCATTTATTACAGTAGACTAGAAAAGCCTATTGGATTTCATTTCAAATGGCATCTGATTCTTGGTGCCACGTGGTCAGATGAGGACAAATGTTGCTTTGAGTCACCAGGCATGAAGTAAGACTCGATAAATGTTGTGATCAGTGGGTGAGGTATTGAAAGCCAGAATATAGGAGCAAAGGGGAAATAGAGGTGATAAGAGAAATGAGAACTAGTGAGGAGCACCAAGAACAGAACATCCAACAGGATTTGGCATCTAAGGGGGAAGGAAAGAGTAGAGGTGACACCGGGTACGCAACTAGGGAGGAGGAGGGCAAGGGGACCTTTTAAAAGAAAACAGGAACCGAAACCTGTTTGCCTCAGTGGTAGAGCGTCGGTCTGCAGACTGAAAGGTCCCAGGTTCGATTCCGGTCAAGGACATGTACATTGGTTGCGGGCACATCTCCGATAGGGGGTGTGCAAGAGGCAGCTGGTCGATGTTTCTCTCTCATCGATGTTTCTAGCTCTCTATCCCTCTCCCTTCCTCTCTGTAAAAAATAAATAAATAAATAAATAAATAAATAAATAAATAAATAAGAAATAAAAAAGAAAAGAAAACAGGAGACGTAGACTTGGAAGGGGAAGAAGAAAGCAGCTAAGTTCTGTCCGGCATCACTGTCCTGAGTTTATGTTGTCCACAGAACCACTAGAAGATGAATACCAACAGTAGTAGGAAATTTGAAACTGGAAACAGTTTTAAACCCAATATTTCTTATTGGTTTGTACAAAAATTTTGAGTCATTATGTATAAGTGAATTATGAAGACCTGCCTTCACCTTTGTGCTAATAGACACCTGAATCAGAGGCTTCTTGCTAAATGCAATACTGCAACTATCCAGATGTTTGAAAGGGGGGGGGGGGGGAGAGTAGCCATTTCCATGCTATTTTCTCTGCAAATAATCGGGACCTTTACTTGATTCTGAATTACCTTTGTGTTAATATGAGCATCCAAAGAGGCAGGGGTTCAGGGCTCAGATGCTGGAGGAAGGGTTCAAATACTCTGACAGTTCTCAGCTATATCACCTAAGGCAGAGATTCCAACATCTCTAAGCCTCGGTTTCCTCGTCTGTAAATTATGTGTAGTAATAGTCATACCCTCATCGAATTATTTTCATAGTTAAATGACATCACTCACGAAAAGTGCTTTAGCATGGTGCCTGGCCCTCAGAAAACATTTACTACTGTCCAAGCGCCCTGCGATAAAAAAATACAGCAAGAATTTCCCCCTGAATAAAAACAATACATTGCAAAAGAAAAGGAGTGACATTTGTCCAGAGTTTTCACATATTTTTATAAAATTTAAGTTTAAATAAGGGGTGTTTTCCTTTTTGGACAAAGAATCTTCGTTAAATATTTTATTTAATATCAGCTATGCCAAATCAACAACTAATCAGAACATAATAGATTCGCAAAACAGGATACAAATAAGAGTGGCACTTGCTTTTCTATCAAGTTAAAGTAACTCTAAGTCAGGATGAGATGGAAGACCTGCTGTGATACCGGTGGGAATGAATGATGAGAGGCAGTATGTGCACATTTTAATGTATATTGTTACACCTACACTTATTTATTTAACGAGGCTCTGTCTGTTGCAAAGAAGGTACAATATGTGTGGCCTTGGCTGGGTCACTGCCTAAACAAAACCCTTCAGTCTACCATTCTCTCGTTCAACAAATATTAATGAGTTTCTGTGAAGTACGTACGTACCGCGCACTGGGCTAAATGCTCAATGCATAGATATGAAGACAGCGAGGCCCAACCCAGCGAGCAGGCACAGCACTCTCGGGCCTCTCTTCCCGCCCCACCCCTCCCTCTGGGAACAGAGGGGCGGACAGAGGAGGGGGTTCCCGGTGACCCCGCGGAGCCTCACCTCTCCCGAGGAGAGCGGCTCCGCTCATCCCCACAGCGCCCCCTCCTCCACTGGTCCAGGCGGGGCAGCATCTTCTCCCGGCGCGTCTGCCCCACCGGCCGGCCCGCGTCTCCATGGCAACCGTACACAAACTACCTACCGGGACTCCCGCCGGCTGCCGAGCCAGGCCGCTGCCCGGCGATCCCGAGGAGCCGCGGGGGATGAGCTGGGAGTGGGCGCGGGAAAGGGGGCTTCTTGCCGGACCGGAGCACCTGTGCTGAGCGCGGGAGGCAGGCAGCGCTGCGGGGCTGCAGCTCACCTTCCAGTTTTCCCGGAGGCAGCGCAGCGGGAGGGAGGAGGCGGGCCGGTGGGGCGGGGCCAACCCCGGCGAGTGGCCGGGGAGAGGCCGGGGTGGCCAGGAGGTCCCCCAGGAAAGCTAATATGGAAATGATGGGGCCTGGGAGGAGCCTAGGTTGGGGCTGAGCAACGGGAGTGCGAGCATCCCTTGAGGAGAGAATGAGTGAGGGCTCCGCTGGGACGAACCCTATGGGAAAGCGTCTACCTTTACCATGCACCTTTAACCCCTAACCAGTGTTTCCCAAACTTTTGACATAT